GGAATAGGCTCAAGGAGCTAAATGGCCTACTTCTGTCTGAATGTTTCCCATGATTTTCCTTCACAGTGTGCTCCTCGAAAGCCTGATAGGCCCATGTAGAGCGTAGCATTTCGCTCCTTTCAACCTCAATCATACGGATTTTGAAGACCAATACTCTGTTGCTCCAATGCCACTCATCTTCCTAAAAGTAAAGCATTCCCAACGTTGTTTCCGCAGTTGCAGTAATCCGAGTACACCTCCCTCCAAGTGGGGCAGGCAGGCTTAAAGAAATGCAGACTAGCTGTATATCATACCTGTACTGCAAGCCACTGGGCCCATTCTGAGCATGCAGCTAGTCAGAGATGCATATTGTGCTGGGTCTGTACACCAGTATCATAGTTATGAGCAAGCAGTGTGAAATGTACTTGTCTCATTGACACAGGGTGCAGGGAAATTGTGCTTCACAATCCTCGTGCTAAGAACTGTGCCGGATTGCACTATAGTCATATTGATCTTATGTACTATATTTTTACCTAAATATAAACATGAAATTTCCCGTAAAACAAAACCATAATACTGGTAATGTCCATTTTTATTCTTCCCATGATAAAGGTAACTAATCAAAAATTAGCTGCTTATAAATGTTACTGGATAGCAATAACATCAAGCGATATGAGGAAAGTATGGGAAAATGGCATTAAGCTGGATGATCAGCCATGATCAAGAATAGCAGAGCAGGTTTGAGAAGATGAATGGCAAACTCCTGCTCTGATGTTTCTATGTTAAGGATTATTAGGGTATTTTATGCTAAGCTATTGGAAGATGTAATGATTTATTAATTTGTATAATGGGGATGTATTGAGCTTTATTGGGAAAATCTGAAAGTTTTAAACATACCTTCTTGAACATCTTTAGGTATCTAGAGTCAATGGTGGACACAGTCTGACAGCCAAACCTGTTTACCCAAATTCTCATGATTATTCAAATCGTTGCCTTGGTTTCTGGTAAGGGTATTTAATTCCAGTTCGACTCCCGTGTATGTGTTCAATGTCAACTATAGGCTAAAATTTATTTCATTAAATTAATTTTCATAAATTGCAGTCATGTTTATTGTTCTAAAAAGCGAATTCAATTCAATGCAGAATATCACAAATGAAATAGAAGAAAATTAGCAATGTCTGATTGAAATTTAAAAGTGCATAAACTTGCATCCAATCCTCAGTCTTCCACTGTATTCCCCAAACCCAAACTTGATTAAATCACAAATGGGATTTACTCACCACTGCTTCCAATTTATATCTAAATATAGTGCAATTTCATACATCCTGCTGCAAATAGCTTTTAAAGGCACATTTCAAATTGGAAAACGTAACCTTATGTCTTTGACTCCATCAAAACCTACAAAATGTATAAGTCTAGAAAAAAGAGACATCTTTGTAGTGGCTGACAATAAAGGATACTTTCTGCAACTGTTTTTACTTGCATCTGTTAGGACTTCATAAATATTACTATATACTATAAGTAGCTGTCTGTAATAGGCATGAAAAGATCAAAAGAATTCTTAGGTTATGAAATTTAGCAGGATAGATAATTTATTTGAAAAGGATTATACTGAACCACTGATTCCAACTTCAGAAGTAGGAAGTAAAGATTAAAAAAACAATTATACAAATAACTCAGAGTAGTGACCAAATCATAGCTTGAATATGCAGATGGTACCAGTAATGAAATAGTACAAATGCAACCTACTGTAGATTTTCTTCATATCACAGCCAGCACAGTGCTAATAGGATCTGCAATAAGTCAGTTCTGTTATCTTTACTTTTGCTCTGACAATGCTTTAAGTGGTAGCAAAAGTGTCAAGAAATATTATCCAACATAAATAGATAGGTTTATCCAAAGCTCATATACTTTGGTAAATAAAATGTCACTAAGTTCTGTGCAAAAAGTGACTAAATAGATTCTGAGAATGATGGACCATAAAAAAGACATAATTTAATTTTACATTAGTTTAAATGAACTAGAAAATAGAAAAAATATATTTAGATGGTGTCTTTGAAATAATAAAGCATACTAAGATTCTTCAGAGCAGAACTGTAAGACAAAGTATGACATCAAGCCATGGAAGGAGATATTCGGTCAGATGACCAAAAGCTTGGTCAAAGAGATAGGCTTTATGGATGTCTAACAAGAGAAAAGTGAGGCATGGAAGCAGAGGTGGAGAAAAGGCATTCCAGATCTTGAGGTCTAGGCAACTGAAGGCACAGCACAAATGCACAAGTGATTAACATCAGGAATGCACAAGAATCCAGAGTTAAATGAGTGCAGGTGTCTCATAGGGTTGCATGGCTGAAGGAAATTTTAGAGATGGAGGGTGGTGAAGGGTTGAAAACAAGAATTAAATCTTTAAAATCAATACCAAGTGTGCATGTAGGTCAGTGAACACAGAGTAATAGAGTTAAGACACAAACAGCAGGGCTTTGGATGCCTCAAATTAATGGAGTGTGGGAGACCAGTAAAGAATGCATTTGAATATTCAATCCTAGAGATAACAAAAGCGTGAACGAGCCTTTCAGCAAGAGATACCGAGAAAGGGGCAAAGTTGTGTGATATTATGTACAAGGTGTTATATTGGTGTAGGAAGGAGGGCATCAAATTTCTGAGGCATTAGGACAGGTTCTAGAGCAGTGGGACCTGTACAAGGTGGACAGGCCACATCTTAGCAGGGATATGTTAAAATAATGTGCAATATGTCTGCTCTGCTACTTGTCGAGGAGGCAGCAAGAAGATATATTGAGGCCTGGCATTGGTGGAGGGAGGGAGGAGTCCAGCGACCCTTCTTCAGAACATATCTGGAGAAAGGTCCAAAGGTCATTGGACTTGAAACATTAACTCTGCCTTCTCACCACAGATATTGCCAGACCTGCTGAGTTTCTCCAGCAACTACTGTTTTTGTATAAGAACTTCAGAACTAGGAGTAGCAGTAGGGAATTCAGCCTCTCTTGCTGTCTCCACCATTTAATATGATCATGGTTGATCTTATCTTGGCCTCATCATTTTCCTGCCACTTCCACATAATCCTTTAACCCATTTCTGAAGAAGGGTCTCGATCCGAAACGTCAGCTTTCCTGCTCCTCTGATGCTGCTTGGCCTGCTGTGTTCATTCAGCTCTACACCTTGTTATCCTTTAACCCATTACTGATTAAAACTTTGTCTATCTCCCCATAAGTTTATTCAGTGTCTTGGCATCCATCGGACTCTGGAGTAGAGTTGCATACATTCACGACGTTTTGAGAGAAGTTGCTCCTCCTCATCTCTGATTTAAATTTTCTACCGCTTGAGCTAAAGCTATGACCTCTCATTCCGTCTGCTCTATCTCTACTTTGTTCATCCACTTTAGAACCTTATATACCTCAAATTAGATCTCTTCTCATTCTTCTAAACTCTAGACAGTATAGGTTTAAACTGCTCAATCTCTCCTCAAAAGACAAGCTTTTCATCTCTGGTATTAATCTGATAAACCTTCTCTGAACTGCTTCCAAAGCATTACCTTCTTAGTAGGTGGAGTCAGTGTAAGGAAGAAAACAATGAAGTCTATATCATGATTGCATATAAAGTATAGCATATACAAGGAGTGTAGTAAATAAGATTGGGGAGTTACAGGCACAGATTGCCCTGTGAAATTTTGATATTGTGGCAACAACAGACATTTGGCAGAAAAAAGGGTAAAATTGGCTATAAGGAATTTGGAAAAGATAGAAAAGGAAGGAAAGAAGGATAGGTAGCAGTACTGTTTAAGAAGGGTATTGCAGTGCTGGAGGAACAGAATGTCTCAGGGGCTCAAGCACAGAATAAATTACAGCATTGTTTCCAGTCTAACACAAAAAGATGCACTGTTGGACCTGGTTCTTGGAAATGAGATGGACCAAGTGTCAGTTGGGAAAAATTTAAGAGACAGTGATCATTGTAGCATAAGGTTCAGGATGATGGTGGAGAATGACATGCTAGTGAGAAAAATCAATTTGCTAACAGCAGACTTCAATGGGGTAAGAATAGAGCTGGGCAGGATTGACTGGAATTAGAGGTTGGTAAATTGAATTCTGACCACACAAGGCTTGAGCAGAACTCTTGTCAGCTGTTACTTGAAACTACTGAGTACTCCAAAGAAAGCTAATTTACTTTTATAAAACCAACTACCTTAATTACAGCAATCACATGCTTTTTAGCAGATTTCCTGGTTCCCCAATTTGCCAAGTGTCATTGGGCATTTGGTTTAGTAGTTGTGTGATTGGGTAATGCAACATTCTACTAAGCAACATATTCAATTGACTGGCCCTAGGTTGATTAGTGGTCGCTGCCCATGTGGACTTAAGGTCTGTCATGTTATTCTTCTGCCACTTCCAGAGGAATTTTGCACCTTTGGCATACAGTTTTTGAAAAATAATTCCTCATTTAAAGATCCTTACTCTCCCAAAGATTTAAACAGGGTACTAATTAAGCTCTGAAGAAGGTTCATATCATACTCAAAATGTTAATTCTGGTTCTCTCTCCAGAGATGCTATCAGACCTGCTGAGTTTTCCAGCATTATCTGTGATTGTATTAATTAACCTTCTTTTTTACTGTCGTTGTGTTCTGTCATGAGAGATAGCTTTAAAGGCAAATTAATCCCAATTTCCAAGATATTTAGTGATTAAAAGTGGCAGACCATCACATAAGAAATGCCTTAACCTTTAACACAAGGCCAAATCTATTAAAGAATGAACTGAATAATGCAATATTGTTATAATATTACCAGGAGAAAAGTTATACCTGATCCTTTGAGTATAGTTGCTTTGAGATTTAGGACAATTTCTTTTTGGTTCTTTTGAAATTATTCAAATTCCATCTTGAAGAGAAACTTCTAAGTGTCTTGATTCAAATAAATTTGATTATTTTACATACTGAACAGGTTAACAAGACAGGCTGGATTTTGAACATGGAACTGCTCAAATGTAGAAAGGAATTGTCACCAAACACTTACATATGTATCTTTTAAACCACTGTTGGGACCAAGTCGAACTTCTTCCAAGTCTTTCTTCAGTTGAGTAAAAGACTCCTCTGATCGCCATAGCTAGAGAGAAAATCAACACAGCTGATTACAAGTTTTAAAGATTCAAAACAAGATAGATGAAGTACTATCATAAAAATCTAATTCTCACTGGTGTTTATTTGAAATTATTCTTATTTAGGAGTCAAAACTATATTAGAAATCATACATTCACAAAATCAGTTTTTATTATTGCATTTGGATTTGATCACCAACATGACCAGTCACTTCATTTTTCATTAAGTAAGAGTCAGAGGTCACTGATTCCTCTAAAAACAGTAGCCTCATTCTTGAAACCTCCTTGAAGGTTTCACCTATTGGCCAATCTGAACAACTTTGTGGGATTTGCCTCAAAGTGACAGAAAAGCTGCATTTGAAAAGAAGTATGATTATGATTATTTCACTGATTATTGCATTCAAAACAATCAAACCCTTGGCAGCCAACTTTTATATTAATGATATTCTGCAAATAAAGAGAAATTAACGACAATGTAAAGAGAATTCCCAAATGTAAAAACATAATGCATTCATTTACAAACACAGGATTAGACAAAATCTTTGACACCCTACTGCTTAACTCATTGCATTCTCCATATCGTAAGGCTTGCTCATTCTGTTACCCTACAATGTGTTTTCCTAGTGACTTTAGCAGGGGTGACTGAAGATTGCTATTGCTCACCTTTAAACACTTAAGGTGACTATGGCCTACAGTTGTTCAATCCTGTGATCATGGCAGTCTTCCTAAGACAGGACAGAGCTTTGATCCCAGACTACCGTGTCCCAGTCATTTAAGCTTCCATCAAGACTGCCATGCGTGGAATCCCTGTGCAAGGGTATAAATGTTGCATTCCTGTTCAATCCAAAGCCTGGGCATAAAGGCTTAAAGTTGCTTGAGGTCACTCAGTAAAGCCATCTTCAGTCTTTCCCAGTAAAAGTCAGCAGTGGAAAACCAACTAAAGGTGATTAGCAAAAGATTCAGTGGCAACATGAGTGGGAGGTTGGGATATAGAATGCACTGTCTGAGAGTGTAGTGGAGGCAGATTCAACCATGGTTTTCAAGAGGAAATTTGATATAAGCAACTGGAATTAACTGTGCACTTTGGCTGAGAGTTAGCATGGAAATGAAGGGAGAGAAAACAGAAATTGCTGGAGAAACTCAGTAAGTCTGGCCACATCTATGGGGAGAAAACAGAGTTAATGTTATGAGGTTGCAAGCTCCAAAGCAGTAATGGCTGCAGTGTAGCTCCCACTAAATGCTAATAGCAAAACCTATTGTCTAAAGGGAGAGTAACTTCAGTGTCCTGGTGCAAAGGGATCAGGGTGTCATTGTATACTAACTGTAGAAAACTAGTATGTACGTACAGCAGGAAACAAGGAAAGCAAATGGAATTTTGGTGTTTATTGCTAAAGGAATAGATATAAAGGTAGGAAAGTGTTGCTACAACTCCACGAGGCATTAGTGAGACCAGACCTGGAATACTGCGTAAAATTCTGGTCCCCTACATGAGGAAGGATGTAGTTGCATTGGAACCAGTTCAGAGGAGGTTAACTAGATTGATTCCAGAGAAGAGGCATTTGTCTTATGAAGACAGATCGAGTATTTTAGGCTTAAAGTTTCTAGAGTTCACAAAAATAAGCAGAGATCTAATTGAGACACATAAAATGCTAAGGAGAATTGACAAAAAAGAGAGGATGTTTCCTCATGTGGGCCAATCTAGAAGGAGAGGTTTTTAGCATAAGGGATAGCAGATTTATGAGACATGAGGACAACTTATTTCTCTCAAAGGGTCATGAATCTGTGGAATTCACTATCCCAGAGTGTGGTGGATGCTGGGAGATTAGTAAATTTAATGAGGAGTTAGACAGATTTTTAATTAGTAATGGATTGAAAGGTTATAGGGCACATGCAGGAAAGTGGAGTTGAAGATGAGATGAGATCAGCTATAATCACATTATATGGAGGATTAGGTTCAAAGGGCTGAACTGCCTCCTCCAAATCCTAGTTCTTATGTTATTATGAATGTCCCCTTTAAGTCATTTCATTTTTATTAAACTATGGCCATGTCCTTGAGGTAAAATTACTGTCTTACAAAACTCCATAGAAAAGTATGTGTTTTTCACTCAAATTCTGTGGACTTAGCAGCTTGCCCTTTCCCATTCCACCTTCAACAACTCTCAAGTCTCCCACTGCCTCACTTCACAATAACCCCACCTCACTCTCACATGAACCACAGCAACTTTCAAGCACCAAAATACAGTAACAATGGGAAAAATTTTGGGAAGCGCTAGCTTATGAATATTAGAACAGGGAACGACATGCATTGGCGAGATATAAAAAGGCATTAATTCTGTTTTGTAACAGTTTTTGGAAATTTTGTTACAAACATTTATTTGTTAGAGGCTTTTACTTCAGGAATTTAGCCAAAAATACAATGTTGATCTGTAGCAGGTCAAGTGAAACGTGGGGAACGATGGAGTGACCTTGATGATGAGATGATGTTTTATGGGAACCAGAGTCTTAGGGCTAAACATTATGTTATTTTTTGCCCAACTCTGCGTTTGTTGAGTTTTTGGAGGGATTTCCACCATGACGCCTGATAGGTTTTCCCATCATATCTTACAAAGCTCACTTCACTATCTACTTATCCTGCCCCAATGATGTTGTCACATTTGATTCTAGCCCCATCTTACCACGTGCCATTCCCAGAACAACTGGCCACTCAGCGTATAGCCCAGAATTAAACAGGATCTGTTGCAGACACAGTCAAGCACTGTCAGTTTGGATCTACTGGCATAGAAATTTGGGGTGACAGTAAACTTGTCAGCCACTAAAGTGCCATCTTTGCTCTGCTGTGAGGTTGCATCTAGGTTGCAGGAGGTGGTTCAGTCACATACCACCTGCTTGTTAAAACACAAGTGCCTCAGAAACTGCTCATAGCTAAGATGGAGGTGGAGTGCTCTCTCAAGACCTATGGTGAGTGGGACCTTCTATTGACAACCCACCTTTTCCTCCTCCATTTGAAACCCCTGCCTTCTCTGCTGCCTGAGCTCTATTTTTCATCATGTCACAGTCCAAATCCCACATAATTAAAACAGGATTTTTCTTAATGTAACAGCATCATCAGGATGCCATACCATTCTTTTTAAAATCCTACACAATAGCAAAGCAGCTTCAAGAACATAATGAAATACTGTACTTCCACAAACTATTGCATTAGTAATAGTAAGTCAATTGTCAATGAGGAGAGATGTAAGATCAGGAGAAATCTTTTCACCTAAAGAGTGGTGAGCCTGTTGAATGCTCTGCCATAGAAAACTGTTGATACTAAGACATTGAAGTTTCCAAGAAGGAGTTAAATATAGTTTGTGGGGCTAAAGGGATCAAAGGGTATAGGGAGAAATCAGACTCAAAGGTCCAAATGGCCTACTCTTGTTTTCTTTGTTTCCATGTTTCTAATTGGATTTCAGCCAGTAAGTAGATGGTTGATCATTTCAATAATGCTAGATGGTAAGGTGCTGAACTTAGAATTGAGTGTGAGTAGGACTGATGGTTAACTAGGCATGCATGGTTTAATTTGGCAGAATGCTGTATCAATTTGCCCAATCAATACCACAATTTGCCCACTCTGCATGAGTCCACTGCACACATGGCAAGACCCAGTCAGCATAAATTGCACAACCTGTGCCAGAGATGACTGGAAGAGTTCTGGCTTCAATTATTTCATTTCAGGGTTTTCTTAGTACTGCCACCAGTGGGACCACACAGTCCAAATCCCAAACCCTTGTTTGTAGCTACAAAATCTAAAGTGATTACATTAATGGACAGCATTTAGAAAACACAGCAGTTTTAATATCAGTTATACTTTTAAAATGAAAACTCTAATAAGTATCTCTATATATTTTACCATGTCAAACATTTGCTTTGCTGTGATGAGAATAAAATATAAAAATAAAATAATTATAATAATTAATTAAATATAATTAAATAAAATAATTTATAAAATAATAAAATGAAAACATAAAAATATCTAAATTTTCTGATCTCATAAAGAAACCCAACATGACCAATGATGCTTTTAAAGATAAGTATCATGTGATCCATAGGATAGACAAGTTCAGAACAGGAAAAGCTTATAACCTTAAAACAAAAGCACACTAGAGCAAATCGGAGGATGTTTAAAAAATCTGGAAGAAACATTTAACAAATCCTAATGGACCAATATTTTCATTGTAATTTTTAAATGGAAACCTTATTTAATAATTAAGAAATCATAAATCCTATTTTTAAATTATAAGATGAAAAGACATTTTCTACTTTGTCTGAACAGAAATCATACCTCTTGTTTCAAGGCTTTGACCTTACTCTCCAGGTGGTGTATATCCTGCAGCTGATTCAGATTTTCTGAATCTTTTATGGCCATTTCATTATGCAGTTCAGTTATGGTGTCCTGTAAATCTTGAATTTTTTGTTCCTTATCAATGATCTATAATAATCAGAAACAAGTGATTGGGAGCAAAGCTTACTTTAGACAAAATAAACTCCCTACACTAACACTTCCACCAAACATTAGCAATTGTATGTAGATGCAAAGGACATGCAACTAAAGAAAATTCTTTTCATTTTTTCCTTTCGTTTCTTGACAGTAGTTAATATACCTTGCATTTCTACAATTAATGTATAATGTTTTAAATAATTTAATCTATTTACTATATTATTACTTCAGGCCTCTCATCCAACAAAAATAACATCTTGCTTTGGACCAGGTATTGCTCCTTAGTTGTGTCAATCATTCTTTTTTCATTACATAATGTGGGTAGTGCTGGCAAGACCAGCATTTATTGCTCATTTCTAATTGCCCTTGACAAAGTATTGAGAATGTATTTCTTCCTGAACCATTTCAGTCCATGTGATGTAGGTATGCTCACAGTATTGTTAACTAGAGAGGTCCAGGACTTTCAACCAGTGACAATAAAAGAACAGCAATAGATTTCCAAGTCAGGGTAGTGTGTGACTTGGAAGAGATCTTGTCAGGGTTGCTTATTGCTCCTGTCCTTCTAGGCAGTGAAGTTGCAGGTTTAGAAGGTACTTTTGAAAGAACTTTGGCAAGTTGTTGTACTACATTTTGTATGATAAAGATTGCAGCCACAGTGAGCTGGTGAAGGAAGTAGTGAATTTTTAAGTTGGTAGATGTGGTTCCAGTTGAGTACGCTGCTTTGCCCTGGACAGACTAAAGCTTCTTAAATATTTTGGAACTGCAGTCATCCACCCAAGGGAGAGCATCACATCACACTCTTGACCGGTGCTCAAAAGATGATGAAAGAATTTATTATAACTATGTAATCTAAACATCATTTACCAACTAATTGATCATAAATTCTATTTTAAGATTATTAAACCAAAACACGTTTCCTGATTTTTCTAAACACAGAGGAGAGTCACAACTTTTGAGCTACTTCTGAAGCCATGGTATTTACATGGCTGTTTTATTTAAGGTTCTGATCAATGATGACATCCAGAACGTTGCTGCTGGGGATTTTCAATGATATTGATATCACTCAATATCAAAGGGAGGTGGTTAGGCTCTTCCTTATTGGAGATGATAATTAGGTATAGGTACATACAGACATGGATAACTTCATTATTTGAGGGGCAGTGATTGGAAATGAATACCGTGCACTCATCAGCAAACATCCACAATTTGTACTTAATGTTAGTAGGAAGTTCATTGTTAAAAGTTTTGAAAGCTGATCTGTTTAGGATACAGCCTTGAGGAACTCTTGGAGAAATATCTTGGAGCTGAGGTGGCTGGCCTCCAACAATCACAACCACCTTCCTTTGTGAAGGCTCCAGTCTGTGGAGAGTTGTTCTTTGATACCGACTAGCTTTAATTTTACCAAATGTATGCTGCAAAATTTGTAGAATTCACAAAGATAGATTGGAAACTATTTACATATAACATAAGTTTAAAGATTACAAAAACACATTGTAAGATACAATCCCACAAATGCCAAAAGCACTCCTTTACTGTACTCATACCCAAGATAATTTCTGGTTACCATCAAACCTATGATTGTGGTCATGGGAATCATACCCTTTGCAGCAGCATGGCATTCTGATAGTGAAAGTCCCGTTAAGTTTCCATAGTACCACCATATGAGTAAACAATGAAACAGCATTTTGTTTTCAATTCTTGTGTAGGTCTCAGAATGTGTGCAGCATACGGGCCATTATAGCTATTAGCCCATTAATCAGAAGATGAGATGAAATGAAATGGATTGAGTGCTTTTATCTTGTAATATCATCATGTGACTTACTAGCTGAGACATAGGATTTATTCCGTTGTTGAACATAAAGCACTTCTGAATTTGATTTGAATAAACATTTCTAACATTTCCCCCACAATTTCTATGTTTAATAAAGCATTAGTGTTGAATATCCGAAAATCCAAATATCAAAGATTGATTTTATACAAAAAAACCCTGAAATTGCTCGAAAGGCTCAGCAGGTCTGGCAGCAACTATGGAGAGAAATCAGAGTTAACGTTGTGGGTCGCGTGGCCCTTCCTCAGGACGTACACTCTGATTTCTCCCCATAGGTGTTGCCAGACTGGCTGAGCTTTTCCAGCAATTTCTGTTTTTGTTTCTGATTTGCAATATCTGCAGTACTTTTGGTTTTTATTTTGTGCATCCTTTGCTTATTTCACTTTTGAAAGCATGTTGAGCTTGATATTCATGTCCATTCACAGAGAAGCCTTATTAATAATGGGTAGGGGTTTTGACAATGCTGTTACAATTCTCTTATTTACCCATACATTTACATTGATCACACAGCCACAACATTCACCTAGTGTTCCTAGGAACACTGGGATAACAGAAGTCTGTTAAAAAAAAACTGTTCCTTGCATGTTTCACATATTTTCTTCAAGAAAGCTACCTTTTTGGTACACCTAATTTTTTGTTTATTCATTCAAGGGATGAGGGTGTTGCTGGCGAGGCCAGCATTTATTGCCCAACCTTAACTAGCCAGACAGCAGTTATGAGTCAACCACATTGCTTTGGGTCTGGAGTCACATGTAGGCCAGACCAGGTAAGGAAGGTGGTTTCCTTCTTTAAAAGACCTTAGTGAACCAGATGGGTTTTTCTGACAATCAACAATGGATTATGGTCATTATTAGACCTTTAATTCCAGATATTTATTGAATTTGAATTCCACAATGTGCCGTGGCGGGATTTGAACCCAGGTCCTCAGAACATTACCTGCAAATCTGGATTAACAGTCCAGTGATAATTAGAACTTCTGAGCCCCAGCCTGGGTTTCCAATTTTCATCAGGGTTTGTAAGGATGCAGGCTGTTTGGATTGCAAGGGGCTATGGGTGCAAAGAGGGGCATACCTTGGCATTGGGGGCATGGTGTGTGTCGTGGGAAGGTGAGGGTGTGTGAGGGTTGCAAGCTCTTTCCTTTTTAAAGCTGGATAAACAATCACATACGTTACTACTTTAAAATCTAAACTCTAAAAATGATAGTGATATAAATTGGACAGCTTTCGCAATATTAACCAAAGAGCCTAGAATGAAGTCCATCATGATCTAGGTACTTGTCAGTCTGCAACTCCAACAATTTACTTGCACTGCTTCTCCAGTGATTGTAATGTTCCTGAGTTCTTCTCTTTGTTCTATTTTTCAATTTATAGCTGTTTCTGGAATCTTACTTGCATCCTATATAGTGAAAAATGCAAAATACCTATTCATTTCCATGATTAATTCACTCCAAACTCACCTTTTATTGGGCTAATGCTCAGTTTGTTAACTTTTTTTAAAAGAAATTATAAAACCTGTTACTATCCGTTTGTAGAATTCTGGCGAGATTTCTCTCATACACTAGCTTTTCCCTCCATGTTAATCTTTAGGTAAATATTTGTTGTTTATTATACTCTGCCCATCATTCTGTCCTGTCAGCTGTCTTTGCAAAATTACATGCTCTTTCTTTCATATTTGATATCATATATAACCATTCTAGTTAACCACAGATAGTAGGTCTGTCGTTTGAATTTATTCTCACTCATTGGATTGTGTCTATTTTATGCTTTCTGAAATATTCCTGCCACAGCAATCTATTGACCTGTGCTTCAGCTTTACCATCATTTGCTATACCATTTTGGGCATGAGGAATAGAATAAACATTAGTCATTGACCAAGTAAGTAAGTTCTCCTGTTGCAGAGAAACAATCAATTCCTGGAGACTAAATAGGTTGGGAAAAGATAAAACAATTGAGTTCCTCTTTCTCTTCCTCCACTAACTCCCTTAATCCCACAACTCCACTACTTTGTTTTTGATGCTGAGGGTTGAAATGATACTCAAAGGTCTAACTGTTTCCATTGTCACAAGGTGAGACAGTTTCATATAGGTTTCTAGAAATTTTGGCCTAAGGGTGTAGAGAAAGGAGCTGAAGTTGAGTGAAAGTAACTCACTGATCAAGTTGTAGCTCTGACTACAGCAGTCAGACCAAGTATAAACATTGCTGTGAGTGCAATTAAAGTAGACAAGATATCTGAAAGTCACGGGAAACACTTGTCATAACATATAGTGCTGCAGTGCTCCAGTGAAGATCAGTCCAAGTTGTAAGAACAGCACATCATTTTCCACTTGGGAACCCCGCAGCCTCTGGCTTCAATATCGAGTTTAACAATTTTAGGGCTTGAGCACCTTCTCCCATGTTCTTACCCGAACCCCCATACACCAGACGTTGTTATCACGTGGGCTGCTTCCATAAACAAAGCATTGTCTGCCTCTAATGGACCCAGTAGCAGCTATTCATTCTCTCAAGCTGACTTTTACCCATTCCTTTGTTTGCCCAACTGTTTTTCTCTCTCTCTGGGCTCCATCTCTACCTATTGTTTACTCTTTTCCCCTCTCCCTGCACCCCTTCGTGAGCATTTATACCGAACATTTCCCAGCTACAATTGGTTCTGAAGAAGGGTCACTGGACCTGAAAAGTTAATTCTGCTTTCTTTCCACAGATACTGCCAGACCGGTGTGTTTTTCCAGCAATTTCTACTTTTGTCCCTATTCTCCACTCTCTGCCACTTCATTCCATCTTGTGTCTGGTACAATGGCAGGTCCTGACACAAATTCTCTCTTTGTGGACAACCATCAACCTTAGTGATTGTTGGTGGGTATCTTAAGTCCTTCTCCATGTCTTCCTTGACAAATTTTATTTAGACAGGAAATTCATCCCCATATCAAATAAGGATTTAACAACATGAAAATCTGAAACTCAGTCAGTTTCCAAATCTGGTTGCAGTTTCTCGATTCCAGACAAAAATTCAGCCTGAGAACACTTACTAGATCAACAACCTAAACAGGTACGAATGTATCTTGCTGTTGGTGGCCAATTCTCCCAAGCAATTTTGGTTGCTTGCTTCCTGGTTTCCAATGAATACAAATTTAAATTCACCCACTTTTGTTTCATTGACAAACTTACTG